CTTACAGTTGTATAGAACAGCTATTATTTACAATAGTTTTAGAGCAACAATCATGTGACCGACTCTATGAGATCTGTCTGAATAGGGGGTGCAGAGCTTCGGGTAGCGTGCTAACAGAAAAGAAACTGCATAAGGTATAGAAAATTAGAAATACATTGTGGAAGAAAGAACAGAGGAGACCTGTCAAATAATACAATATAACCAGCCTAGACTAAGAAGCCTATACAGGAGGAGGAGGAATACAAAGATACTATTAGAATATAAAAGAAGTGAGAATAATGAAAAAAATAATACAAATATGCAGTAACAAACAAATAAAAGAAAACAGCACAAAAAAAGGCAGGAGAAGGGAGGAAAAAGCAATAAGTTTGGGAAGAAGGACTAAAATAGGAAAAAACAAAGAAGAGGATCAAAGTATTGAAAGATAAAGCAATAATAAAATTCAAAATAAATAAGATTACTTAAAAAAAACCCATAAAACAAAACAAAAAATCTTCCCTTGTTGTTTTAAACTATCCAAACCAGTTTTTCTGGTTGCAGCAGGACCTTTCTGTGGGCCGTGTTGCCAGCACATGCCAGCCAGGCTACCAGACCTGGATGCAGGTGCCCGTACTCCCATCAGGTTGCCTGGTTCCCTTGCTCTCTGGTGCAGTTCTTCCTCGCTGCTAGGCTGGGTGGGAAGCAAACCAAGCCCTCGCAGGAGAGCACCTCAGTCCACTTTCAAAAAAGAAAAAAGCCTCTCCAGACAGCCTGCCTCTCAGCCCAGCCCAATCCCCAGCCAGACTGGTGGCAACAATGTGCCTCTCAATTCTCCAGGGCTGGCAACCACAGAGTCCACAGGTGAACATGGCCCTTTGTTCTTGTTGCTCTCTGTTCTCTGTGTAAACTCAACCACACAGGTCTCTGCCTGGCGCAGCCCAGGCGGGGAGGGAGAAAACTGGTGACCCGCGCTGGTTACCTACTGGGGCTGCTTGGTACCCCTGCTCCTGATAAGGACACCTCAGGCACCGGTCCCAGACCAATGTCTCTGAACCCCAATTGCCATGGAGCAGGGTCCAAAGATGAACTTGGCCCTTTGTTCTTGTTGCTCTCTGTTCTCTGTGTAAACTCAATCACACAGACCTCTGCCTGGCGCTGCTCAGACAGGGAGGGAGAAAACTTCTGACCCATGCTGGTTGACTACAGGGCTGCTTGGTACCCCCCGCTCCTCAGGAGGATGCCTCCTGCACCGGTCCCAGACCCGCTGCCGGTCCCAGACCTGCTCCGAAGGCCATAGCACCAGGGTCACCTGGCTGCTGGTGCTGGCCCTGCCTCTGCTCCTGTCTCCACTCAACTCCCCTATTCGCCACTAACATGCCGCTGACCAGAACCTCAGCATGTCACAATCGCTGCTCTCCCAACTTCATAAATGCTGTGGATCTATTACTTAATTATGCTGTTGTTTCTCAGTAGCTTGGCCAGGCTTTTCACCCACGTGTACGGGAGCTGGAGTACTTTCCCTCCTACTCCGTCGCCATCTTCCTCTCCTCCCCTCTTTTGCCCATTTTTTAAGTGGGTTGCTTGTCTTCTTAGAGTGGAGTTGTGCAAGTTCTTTATATATTTTGGGGATCAAACCCTTGTCTGAGGTATCATCGACAAATATGTTTTCCCATAGGATTGGTTCTCTTTTCATGTCAATGCTGTTTTTACTTAGCCTTGCAGAAGCTTTTTATTTTGATGAGATTACATTTGTTTATTCTTTTTTTTTTAATTTCCCTTGTTCTAGGGGAAATATCAGTGAAAATATTGCTATGTGGAATATCTGAGATTTTTTTGCCTATGTTCTCCTGAAAGACTTTTATGGTATCACAACTTATATTTAAGTCTTTTATCCACCTTGAATTTATTTTTGTGTATGGTATAAATTGTTGGTCAAGTTTCATTTTTTTGCATGTAGCTGTCTAGTTCTCCCAACAGTATTTGTTGGAGAGGCTATTTTTACTCCATTTTATGCTGCTGCCCCCTTTGTCAAATATTAACTGGCCATAGACACTTGGGTTTATTTCTGGGCTCTCTGTTCTGTTCCATTGGTCCATGTACCTGTTCTTATGACAGTATCAGACTGTTTTGATTACAGTGGACTTGTAATATAATATGATATTAGGTATTGTGTAAATGGAGCACTTTAAAATAGAGCTGGAGCTCCCAGCTCTGAGGAACTGCCTTGTACTCCTTATGCTCCAAAACTGTAAAAACAGGGCAGGATTACCTTTGTACTGGGACTAAAGCCACATTGTGTCTCAAAAAAACTACTTGCAAAAATAACAACAGAGTATATATTATGACTACTAGATATGATGACTACTAGACTGAAAATTAAAAGCATTATTTTAGAATTAACATCACTACATTATGTTATCCCACACTGACAAATATCTTCTTTCCCTTCCTGTTCCCTTTTTTTCACCTTGCCCTCCTGATAAATATCCATTGCCTTTATCCCCTAATCAGAACATCATTTGGGCTTCTTCCTGAATCAATGGTTCTACAATAGTTATTCTTATTAATTTCATGTATGATCAATTGGCTCTCACTTTGAATGGTCTTTTTATTTTTATGTTAGCCAAGAAAATACAAGTTAACATTTGTAATTAAAGAATACTTTTCTAAATTTAAGTGATATCAATTTTCACAAGCTTCTTTGAATCTTCATCATTTTTTAAACTTTATTGCTTTAAAAAAAACTCACTGTTTCAATTTGCATCTCTGTGCTTTTTAGTGAAACTGAAATGAACAGGTCAGGAGAGAAAATAATCAGGCAATTCCCAGGAAATGAAATGCAGAGGGCTGTTAAACATGTAAGATATTTAACCTATTATAATAAGAAAACTACAAATTAAAAAAAATCATGATATACATGATATCATTTTCACCTATAAGTGAGTTAAAGATATTGACAATTCTATGTCCTGGTGAGGAAAGACATGAGAAAATAAATACTTTAATATCTACTTTTATACTCTTTTGGTAATACTGTAACTTGCTGTACTCAAAGGAAATTTGGTAACATCCATTAAAATTTAAAGGGGGAAATGCTGTTTTTTTTTTATCAAGTAAACAAATTTATTGGATAAAATTCACAGCACAGGTAATTAACCACTGCCATTTATATTTGTACTTTCTGTTACATCCCGTCCTCGCGAGCAAGAAGGGTCGGAGACTGCTGGGTAGTCAGAGGTGTTTTATTGGCCAAAGTTTCAAAGTTTTACCTGCGCAGGGGCGAACTCTCGGGGTGCCTCCGGAGACACACGAGTGCCAAAATGGCTGCAAATGAGAGTCGCGCCTAACGCTTACAGGCTAGGATTCTTATAGAGGCGAGCAAGCAAGCAACTTCCAGAAGCAGAAGGTGGCAGTTAGCTATTGGCTCAGGGGCTATACCAAGGTGCGTGATCTGACCAAGGACTGGTTACTAGAGCTCGTGGACAGCTTGTGATAGTGTGGCTGATTGGCTCTTAAACCTCATGCTGTGGTTGTGGTCTTTTTACCCGCCCCCCCCCGCCTTGGCGTTCCAGGAGCTGACTTAACACAATCAGCTCTGTACCTCCTTTAAGTGCACCCTGTCCTTATGGTCAAGCGAGCAGCTAAAATTGAGAACAATCACTTCCTCATTTCCCTGGCTCCTTCATTCCCCCCTTCTGTTTGGAGCAGATCAAACCCTTGATTCTGTTTCATTAGAAGGGAGAATAGTATAGGGTTGTGATAAGACCATTAATTTCACTACCTCTACTCTTTCTTTGATAGAGGCTAAAAGTTTACTTATAACAATAGGTCCTATAGTCAATGCTAATAGAAGAATCAAAACAGGGCCAGCTATAGCGGATATTAGGGTAGTTAGCCAAGGGGAGGTTTGGAATATAGAAGCATACCAGCTGGAGTTCTTTTCTTCTAATTTCCTATCTTTTAATCGGTTGGCGAGAACTTTGATGTTCTCTCGAATTACTCCAGAGTGGTTGGCATAAAAACAACACTCCTCTCCTAGGGCTGCACACAGTCCGCCCTGCTGCAGAAGCAAGAGGTCAAGTCCTCTTCTATTCTGTAGTGCTACCTCTGCCAGGGAGTCTATCTGGCGTTCAAGATAGATTACTTGATCTTGCAATAGGGCAATGTCCTTCGAAAAGGATTGTGACAATTGCTTCAGACTCTGTTCCCCATGGCCTATGGCCCCAGCCCCTACTGCTGCAGACCCCAAGACCCCGATAGTGGCCAGTATAGGTATTAATAACGGTGCTCTCTTGGTTCGCCACCAGGGCTGTACTAGTGAGGTAGGGTCGCCTCCATATAGGTACACTTGGGGAACAATATATGTACTGATACACAGTTCTGGGCGGCGGGTTGGCACCAAGCACTTGAATATTCCTTGAGTGCAAATAAACCATAACCCCTCAGCAGCTCGGGTCACTTGTGGTGTATTGATGGTTCCCATGATGGGGGTGATACAATTGTCTCGCATCCCCAACTTTTACAGTAATAATCCTTTACCCCTCCACAGAGGTCTTGAAAATATTTCATGTCATTCCCGACCCAATGCGAACACACATAAAGGTCGGTATGGAAAAGGTCTTGGTTCAGATTTTCATTTCTGTTATAGTCAGATCCTTCTATCCCTGGAGTTCCTCTTAAGGTCAATGCCCTATTTGGGTTAATAGAGGTGAGTCCATTCCCTTCACATAGCCTATGTCCGAACCATTGAGAGAGGTCAGCTTGCAGGGTTACTCTGTTGTCCTTCCCTATGCCGCTGCTGGCAATTACTTCACTATCAGAGAACCTAATTATAACCCACTGGTGGGCCAGTCCTCCCGTGGGGATGGCCCAAGAGGCAAGCCATATTCCTATGAGTGGGAGAAAGTAAGCTTTAGGGGTCTGTCTGGATCCTTTCGAACCCGCCATTCTCGAGAGTCTTCTCCTGGTGCTTGGGCTACCTTGGTGTGGGAGAGGTGTATCCAATATGGCTTCTCAGCTACTCAAACTGCAGTGGGGGTACTTAGCAGTACCTGGAAGGGCCCAGTCCATCGAGGCTCTAAGTTCCCCTTTCTGTGGTTGAGGATCCACACCCACTGTCCGGGCTCCAACGGCTCAAGCGCTGTGCCTCCTCCCTCCAGGTGGCGGGCTTGCTGCAGGGCACGCACCTCGCTCCGGATCTTCTGCAGCGTCTGCAATGGCCTAAGGAAGTTGTGATTAGAGACTTCTATCTCTTCCTTAGTTAGGCGGGGAACCAGGGGTATAGGTTGACCAAATAGTATTTCAAAAGGGGCCCAAGTCTTAATATATGGGGTACATCTCACACGGAAAAGGGCAAAAGGGAGTAGCTCCACCCAATTTTCGCCGGTCTCTTTCTTTAACTTTACTAGAGTTTCTTTGAGGGTTCTATTCATCCTCTCTATCTGCCCTGAACTCTGGGGTCTATAAATGCAATGAAGTTTCCAATTAATCCCTAGCCTGGCCACTAATTCTTGTGAAACCTTAGAAACAAATGCAGGTACGTTGTCAGATCCTATGGCTAGGGGTACCCCATATCTAGGTATAATTTCTCTCATTAAAATCTTACAGACTATGGAGGCCGTCTCTCCTCTTGTGGGGAAAGCCTCGACCCACCCTGAATAAGTGTCAACTAGGACTAGTAAATACTTGCAGCCCGACTTCCCTCTAGCTATTTCAGTGAAGTCAACTTCCCAGAGTTCTCCTGGGGTATTCCCTCGATATCTCACAAAGCAGGGCAACTTCCTGTTTTGTGCATTTACCTGAGCACATGCCCTACACCGTGAGGTGATCGAGTGAATTACTGCTCTGAGGTGTGGCCCTAGGTAGTACTTTCTAATCAGTTGCTCTAACTTATTCTGACCTAAATGGGTGCTGGTATGGATATCTTGCACTACTTGCCTTACTACCCCTTGGGGCAAGTAAATCCTAGTATCAGGGAGTACTATCCATCCATACTTATCTTTTCTTCCACCTAATTTGGTTCCCTCTTGCTCCTCCTCGGTGGAGTATTTGGGATCCAGTGGCAATTCTGGCTGGGGAACTAGGGGGAGCAAATTGTCACCTTGGCTTGTTGCAGTCTCCTTGGTGGCAGTATCAGCTAAAGTATTTCCTCTTATAACTGGGGAATCTCCCTTCTGGTGGCCCCTGCAATGTATGATAGCAACTTTCTTGCGTAGCCATATGGCCTCCAGGAGGGTGAGGATCTCCTCACGATTTTTAATGTCCTTGCCTCCTGTGGTCAGGAGGCCCCTTTCCTTGTAGATAGCTCCATGGACGTGGGCAGTGGTGAAGACATAGCGGCCGTCAGTATAGATATTGACGACCTTTCCTTCAGCTAGCCTTAGGGCCTGGGTCAGTCCTATTAACTCCGCTCTTTGTGCAGATGTTCCTTTGGGCAATGCCTTTTGCCATAGCACCTTATCCTCTGTGGTCACTGCTGCTCCTGCATACCGCTGTCCATTTTTGATAAAGCTACTCCCATCAGTAAACAGAGTCAGATCTGCCTTTTCATAGGCTTGGTCTCGCAAGTCTGGGCGGGCCCCGGTCACTGTGTCTAGGACCTGGGTGCAGTTATGAACAATCTCAGCATCTGGAATCGGTAGCAAGGTGGCCGGATTCAAGGCAGTTGTCTTAAGGAACTGCACTGCTGGAGGATTCAATAGTTGGGCCTGATACTGCGTCAGCCACGCATTTGACAACCACCTGTCTGGGGGTGACCGCAGGACTTGTTCTATATAATGTTCACCAATAACTTGTATATCCTGTCCCAGAGTTAGCTTGCTCGCTTCCTTGACTAGCAATGAGGTGGCTGCAATGGCCCTCAGGCAGGCCGGCCACCCGGAAGCAACCGGGTCAAGTTTCTTGGATAAATAGGCTACGGGTCTCTTCCATGGTCCTAGTGTCTGACTCAATACACCTAGGGCTACTCCTTCTTTTTCTGCTACAAACAATTGGAAAGGCTTAGCCAAATCTGGCAGGGCCAGAGCTGGGGCAGCTACTAATGCTTCTTTTAATGCCTGAAAGTCTTGTCTCTCTTTTTCAGTCCATGCGAATGAGTCCTCTTTGCCCCTGGTTAGCTCATGCAAGGGCCTCACTAGTTCTGCAAAGCCTAATATCCACAGCCTGCAGTATCCCACGGCCCCCCAGAAATTCACGTACCTGCCTTTTGGTGGCCGGCTCTGGAATTTGCAGAACCGCCTGGATCGGTTGACTGGACAGAGTCCTCTGTCCCCCCTGCAAGTTGTACCCCAGGTAACTTACAGTTTGAGTCACGATTTGGGCTTTCTTGGCGGAGACCCGGTATCCCATCCTCTCAAGGTCCCGCAGCAGATCTAGGGTGGCTGTTTCACATTCCTCTTGTTCTTGAGCTGCTATTAGAATGTCATCTACATACTGGAGGAGAACTATGGTGGGGTGAGATTTCCAAAACTCCTGGAGGTCTTTACTGAGGGCCTCATTAAAAATTGTAGGTGAGTTTTTATACCCCTGGGGCAGTCTGGTCCATGTGAACTGCCCTACTAGTCCATTTTCGGGGTCGTTCCATTCAAAGGCAAAAATCTCCTGGCTCTGAGGAGCCAGGGGTATACAAAAGAAGGCATCCTTCAAATCTAAAACAGAGTAATAAGTATGCGTTGGGGGCAACGAGCTTAACAGCGTATATGGGTTGGGGACAATGGGGTGTATTGTCTCGACTCGGGCATTCACCTCCCGCAAGTCCTGCACCGGACGGTAATCCTGGGTTCCAGGTTTCTGGACAGGCAACAAAGGGGTATTCCATGCGGACTGACACTCTCTTAGAATGCCTGCCTCTAGCAGGCGCCGCAAGTGTCTCGTAATCCCTTGCCTGGCCCGCGCTGGTACAGGGTACTGTCTTATTCTGACTGGGCTTGCTGTACTGGACAGCTGAACCAGCACTGGTGGCTGGTGGATGGCCAGCCCAGGCGGGTTAGTTTCTGCCCACACCCCTGGTACCTTTGACTGCAGCACTTCGGAGACTCTGGCGTCCCCTTGCCTCTCTTCCTGGAGTGCAGCCAGCAAGTACTCCTCAGAGAGGGGAACTGTTACCTCCACGCTGGCTCCTGCCGCGGGGTCTTCTTGTTGCTTGAAGGTTATAGTGGCTTGGAGCTTCTGCAACAGGTCCCTCCCCAGCAGCGGGTATGGACAGTCTGGGATAACTAAGAAGGAATGAGTGATCGTGCCCCGACCCAAGTCCGTGATTCTGGCAGTTGTTCATGGGTAAGCTTCTGCTTCACCCGTTGCCCCTACAATCTTGGTGGTTGCCTTCTGAATTTGCCCTCGGGGCTGCTTTAGGACGGAATAAGTGGCTCCCGTGTCGACCAGGAAGTGTGTTTGCTTGCCCTCGACAGTTAAGGTGACCATGGGCTCCTGGGAGCCAACAGGTATGGAGCCCTGGCCCCGTCAATCCAGAGTCTGGAGGAGGACTTCCGGGCCATGTCTGGGCCCTTACTTGCTCCTCCTAACTTTGGGCAATCCCATTTCCAGTGTCCTTTCTCCTTACAGTAGGCACACTGGTCTTTGTCTAAACGCTGTCTCTGACCTTTCTGCTGCTTTCCACTTCCTTTTCCTTTCGGAGGTGCCTTCTGTGCCTCGACCAGGATTTTGGCCACTTCTTTCGCTCTCCCTACTTCTGGGTCATCCCTGTTTATATATACTTCCTGTGCTATTTCTAGGAGCTTGCTTATATTTCTCCCTCAAACCCTTCGAGCTTCTGTAACTTCTTTCTGATATCTGAGGCTGCCTGCGTCACAAAGGCTATATTGACTAATCTCCTGTTTTCAGGTGCCTCTGGATCTAGTGGGGTATACACCCTGTAAGCCTCCCTCAAGCGCTCTAAGAAAGCCCCGGGCGACTCATCTCGTCCTTGCACAACTTCACTGACTTTACTAAAATTAGTGGGCTTCCTAGCTGCTGCCATGAGACCCCGCAACAGAGCCCAGAGCCCGGCAATATTGGAGGAGCGCTTCCCTCCCACCACTCGAATTTGGATCCCAGTTAGGAGGTTGGGAGGGCAGGATACCCTCTAGCTCTAGCCTTCCTCCCACAGTGGCCCCCTCCTCCCCCATAATGGCTTTTGCGGCCTCTCCCATAATTCTATCCCTTTCCTCTGAGGTGAACAAGGTGTGCAGAATCTGTTGGCAGTCATCCCAAGTGGGCTGGTGTGTCCTAAAAATAGTTTCTAAAAGGGAAATTAACCCCTGCGGCTTCTCTGAGAAAGGGGGGTTCTGGTGCTTCCAGTTGTATAAATCACTGGTGGAGAAGGGTACAGATCAAGCGCGGGGGAGCCCGCGGCGCATCCGGCGCGGTGGGGGCCTCTCGCAAGGGTAAAATGGCCCCTCCTGCCTGAGGAGGTAAAACGGCGGCCACTGTATCTGCCCTGTCGGGGGGCCCGTACCTTTACTATACTGAGTGCCGCCACGAGTATGAGGCGGACTCTGGACCCCTCTACCCTCCTCGGAGGAGTCTGGCAGGTGCTGGGTTGGATACGGGGGTGGAACAAGGGCTGGATCCAGAGGATCCTCGGGCTGACCGGGCAGTACGGGGTATAACCTGGGTCGGGCTGTAGTTACAGTACGTGACCCCCCCGCATCTGGTTCTTCTCTCACCCCTGTGTCACCTTTCTGCCCTGTGGTTACACAGATTGCCCTCTTCCCCCCCTTATTGGCCTGTATACATTTCCGAATGTATCCAGGACGTTCAGTGGCTATATCCACCCAGACATCAATATAGACAAACTGATCAGGATGGGGCACCCGATACACTGTGGCCCGAACAGCAAACAAGAGGGGGAGATCAAAAGTCCCTTCGGTGGGCCACCCCACGTCAAAAGTTGGCCACTCAATCTGGCTGAGGGTCCGCAGGAACTCCGGGTCGGGCGGAGGCCCACCATATCCACTAGCCCGCCTCTGAAAATCAGAAAAGTTGTTCAATAGACAGTCGAGGGGCGACCTAGGCACTGATCCATTCTGGCCCATCCTGAAGTGCTGGACAACCTTAGGGATTTCAGAAACAAGAAAAGAAATGACCAGAGCTAACACAAAACACGTAAACAAACGCCACAACTCCCTACCATGCACTCTCCTCTCGCACAGGCGAACCGCGGTTCTCAGGCCTGCGTTCTCTCGCAGCGCAGCGCAGCGCGAAGTGGAACTAAACACAAAGCGACCTAGTCGCCACTCCCGAGGGCGTCCCCTCTTCCGGGAGCCCCTGGGTGGTATTGCGGTGACGTCTCACCTACCACTTCAGGGTCAAACAGTCTAGACTTCCAAACCAAATGTAAAAAAAAGGATCCTTATTACTTACGTTCGCTCGAGCAGCTCACCCAGTCTCCGAATTTAGATTTTAAATCTCCGCTGGGGCCTCCAAATGTTACATCCCGACCTCGCGAGCAAGAAAGGTCGGAGACTGCTGGGTAGTCAGAGGTGTTTTATTGGCCAAAGTTTCAAAGTTTTACCTGCGCAGGGGCGAGCTCTCGGGGTGCCTCCGGAGACACACGAGTGCCAAAATGGCTGCAAATGAGAGTCGCGCCTAACGCATACAGACTGGGGTTCTTATAGAAGCGAGCAAGCAAGCAACTTCCAGAAGCAGAAGGTGGCAGTTAGCTATTGGCTCAGGGGCTATACCAAGGTGCGTGATCTGACCAAGGACTGGTTACTAGAGCTCGTGGACAGCTTGTGATAGTGTGGCTGATTGGCTCTTAAACCTCATGCTGTGGTTGTGGTCTTTTTACCCGCCCCCCCGCCTTGGCGTTCCAGGAGCTGACTTAACACAATCAGCTCTGTACCTCCTTTAAGTGCACCCTGTCCTTATGGTCAAGCGAGCAGCTAAAATTGAGAACAATCACTTCCTCATTTCCCTGGCTCCTTCACTTTCTTAGTCCATCCACCTCTTTTTCTGATGACAGGATCCTGATTTTCCAGTGGTGGGGTGGGGGGCTGGTATTTGTCATCTCAGCCAACCAAGGAATGTTGAGCTAAATCCCAGCTCCGGAAACAAGTCCAGATTGGTCAAAGCCAATTGGGCACAAGCTTTAATCTGGGCATTAGGAATAAGACCAGGATTTAAACAAGAACCATAGGAAGAGACCGTTTTCTTCCTCTGAATCAGTGCAGGGCTGCTGAAACACGTAGCTTTATGAAGGTACCCTTGGGGCCAAAGGGCCCCTCCCGTGGACAAAAGATGAAGTGAACTCTGTAGAAGAGCACTTTACTTGTGATTTTTTTCCTGAGAAAGGTTCAGATTTTGCGCTCTATGGGTAAAATTACATATAGATAAATATTTGTTGTAGTATTGTTCATTATAGAAAAAAGGAAACATTTTAAAGATTCAACAAAATAAAGAAATGGTTAAGTAAATCACAACATAATCAAATGGTAGAATACGATATTGCAATAAGAGAAGATCTGTACATACTAGTAAATAAATTCATATTAAGTGAAAAAAGATGCAAAGTATTCCTACTTATATAAAAACCTAAAATGTTAACTCCTACCCCCACAAACTCCAAACTAAGTTCTAGAATATCTGTGTATGTACAGGCACAGAGGCAATCTGAAGAAATGAGAACAGTGGTAACCTCAGGAAAGGGAAAAAAGATTAGGTGGGAGATTGTATTTTCCAAAGGTGGCCACACCAGTATATCTCTCTCACCCCAAGTGCTCTTTTTACCATGTGAAGTTGACACTCCTTTATTGAGAAAGATAAGGTGGATTTGCCTCAACTAATCAGATGCAAAATTATGCTTGGAGATAGTCAATGCTAGGTCATAAAAAACAATAGGTCCCCTTGGTTGGTTATCTATCTATCTATCTATCTATCTATCTATCCATCTATCTCCTTTCTTTAACACTCTTCACACCCCTTAAGACAGCCAGTAGGTTTTGAGAAAGCCCAGGCTACTTAGAGGGACTGATATGGGTGTGGTGCCCTGAATGAGGGAGGAGCCACAAGAAATGCCTGAGGCTAGGTAAACAAGCTAGTACTTTGCATGAGGACAGATTTCCCCACCCCCAGACAGAGACATGGTAGGAAGAAACCTTGCACAGAACATTCACAGGCTAGTGAAATGTTTGGATAAGAGAAAAGTCCTCCTACTCACCATCTGGTCCCTGGGTGTGGGTGGGACCAGGTGACACAGTACTTGTACCATGAAGGTCAACATGGTGGCAGGGTGAGATGCACTCTTATCAGTCTAGTCTAAGAAAAGGAGAGGATTGTGGGATTGGCTGGTGAGGGAGGGTAAGGTGGGGGGGAGGGTTGCAAACCTTTCCTGAGTGCAGGGAAGTTTGGGTCAGGAGATTTAAACCAAGGGAAGGGAGAAATATGTGCCTCTTTCCTTTGGGACTCACCAGCACAGATGTGTAGGCTGGAGTGTATGTGGAGTCAGCTGGGTCCTGGATCCATGGGATGATGGCAGTGTTGGCTCCACACATGCACCCCAGGAGGTAGCTTGAAGACAGAGAGCTATTCACTTAGCAGCCTTGGGCTCCAAAGGACAGATATGCATGGGATGGGATTTCTGGGCACTGTTTCTGGTTCTGTAGATTGCTGGGGTTTGTCTGAGTTTTGAGGAAGGGATAAGCCTGGAACTAGGGAGTCCTTCATCCTCCCAAATTGTGCAACATTTTAATAAAGACCTCTTTCCTTCCCCACCAACCTTTGTTTTTGGAATTTGTCTGTGGGTGACACTGGGCAGCTGAATCCCACTTTTGTTCAGTAACAAGGCTACATATAGGTGTTCCAGCCAACAGTTTCAGCAGAAGTCCCAGCTAACCACTATAGGTATGAATGAACAAGGTTTCAGATAACTGTACCTTCGAGACTTTGAGTCTTTCAGTTTGTACCCCAGACATCTTATAGCAGAGACTAGCCATCTTTGTGGAATTCAGCTACCTGTCCTGCCTGAGTTTCTGACCCTCAGAAACTGTGAGCATAGTAAAAGGGGTTTTACATGCTAGATTTGGGGCAATTTGTTATGCAGTCATAGTAATTCAATGTACTGATTGTCCTTATTCTAGTGAGGCAGCTCATTGACCAGCATCTGTATTGTTGTAACAGGGTGAAGCCAAAGAGCCCCCCCCCCCGCCAAATGGGGATTTGTAATGGGGTCCAGAACTCAGGATGTCCAGGAAACATTAGAAAAATATATATAGGATGTCCTCACACCCACAAGTCTGAGCTAGGGGATGGGACACATGGAGCAGGGCCACAGAGAACTGTTTTGCATAGCAACAGCTTTGCAGCTAACCTCCAGCATGGTCATTTAACATATCTGTAAGTTTTAACTGGTTTCATGGAAATGTTAAATAGCTATGGTCTTGCTTTGAGCCAGGGGGATAGGAGTGAATTTCACCCAGGATGTA